CCTCAGCAGCAGCTGGGGTGGGAGCCCACTCCTGGGTAGCAGCTTTGGGGGACAGCTGCTTCTAAACCTGTTAATTCCCTCCAAAACACAAAGCCCCGAACCTGCAGAGGTTTCCCTCCCAATGATCCCAGGTGCCCGATGCTCCTTGGTCCCCATGCATGGCAAGTGCTGTCAGAGCAGCTGCCGTTTTCTCACCCTCTGGGCTAGCAAAAATGAAGATCTCCGAGCCTTAATTGTAGGCCCTTAACCTTCTGCTCCCACTTGGCTGGAGACCGCGGGGCTGAGCTCAATTGGTTTCTCCACTTGGGGAATATCTGAAGCACTTGCCGTGTTTCTGTGGCGGAAAGCCTCCAGCCGGGAGCCCGGCGCTGGAGTGCCGCTGAAGGGCCGCCTGATGCTGTCGCTACACAAGTGTTGTACAAAATTGGCTCAAGTGGCTTTGCAGAGGCAGTGGAGCGATGTACAAGCATCGTTACGCTGTTCCTTAGGCCAGGATTGGTTATTCAGCGAGAACAAGTTGAAATACTTCTTTCTCCAAAGGCATTGTGAAAATGTCTTTGAGGTAAACTTGCACAGTTTGAGTGACTTAACATTTAATCTTGTGTACCCTTCCAGACTAGTAATTTCCAGCCATCAAACATTCTATAAAACCCACTTACTTTGAATACGCTATTATATGTCAGTGCAGACGACAGATTTGGAGCTTTACCTCTAAATATTAGCTCTGTGCATTGCAGGATACAGTACACTGCACAGGGACTGCAGCCCAGTGTAGTCCGGATCCCGTTAAACTGAATTACCAAACACGAATCAAAGCCCCAAACCAAGTGGTGGCTTTCCTTGTCTGTGGAAGTAACCCAGTACAACTGGCATTTGTGAAAGATCTGTAGCACAAACAACAGCTCACACAACTATCCTCAGATTAGGTGCGGTTATTAGACCTCATCCTCAGAGATATCAACTGAAAATCTCATAAACACCCTTGACAACAGCCACTCCTATCCACAGTTCTGTAAAATCTTAAACAGAGAAATAATACAGCATGTTTACATTTAACTACTGCAGGTTAGTCATAACTATTCTACTGCTTGGAATCAACACAAATCCAAAGCCATTATTTAAGGCTGAATGTCTATTCCAGCAATTTAGTGCTGATATTTTGGTTAGACACCACATTATTCATCATCCACAAATCCACAGGCTCTCAAAACTAAAGAACAGGATGCAGAGTACACAATTTATTCACATAATTAGGCTGCCAGTAACTGTGGCCAGAGATTTTACTTCTTACACATTCCTAAATCTTTTCAAGTTGCTCTGTTACTGTGCAATTATGATAGTTGAAGGGCACTGTAGGAAAAAAGTTGTTATAATAGTACACCATCCTTTAGGTTGTTTTAATGAGGTTTTCTGCACTTCAGCAGTCATCAACTTCTAAGAGCTGTCCTGCCTTGCACTTCTGCATTATTAATACCAGCACCATCCATGCAGCTACAGTAAAGGTCTGTCATTATTTCCATTTTTAACCGGTATTTCCAAGGATTTATAGCCCAAATGCAGAATAGCCCTTCAGTTCCTTTTTTGCTGAATTTAAAGGAACCATTTGGATCAGCAATCTACAAATTCAGCCAGTTTTTGAGTAGGTTTTGACACACTAGAGGTTAACAGCTCCATAATGGCCATTATGGTGTGTTGTGTGAGCAGTCTCCAGTTACTGCTGCTGCTGCATTGTCTATCTCTAGCTGCAATCAAGCTTCTACCCACTCCTCTGGGAGTCTGGTTCCTTCTAACACATCAACAGCCTGCATGAAAAGTCTATCACGAAAGAATAGAGATGTATTTTGCATTTTAAGTCATAATTATACTTTGGGGGGTAAATGTTCAAAATGAATTATTGTTTGTTAGGAGTGTTTCATAAGGAGCAAAAGGAATTTAATGTGGGCACATTTTCTTGTGCTGAAGTAACATTACATAAAGAAACAAAATTCAGCCACAGAATTGCAGATAAATTACTGATAGGAATCTACCAGTGCATGAAAGTGAGTACATGGACAAGTAAAATCCTCAATCAGCAGAGTAAATTTCCTTGGCTGCACTAAGGAAACACAGCAAACTTTGTTCTGATCTGTGGTTTTCCACCCAAGTATAAACAGTGCAACTGATTTTTTAAAGCAAAATACTGGGTTATCTGTTCAGATTGTCAGTCTTAAGTCTGAATAATGTCTTTTATAATATTTAAGATGTTTAATGTGTGTTAGGTGGAGCCGATTTTTTAAAAAGCTCCATTACCATATACATAAAGCATATTTGACCTTGAATGTAGTTCAAGGTTTGCTTCCCTTACTGTGTTTTAGAAACTCACTTTGGATGACTGCAGAGGCTGTTTATCCATCCTCCCCGGCGATGCTTTGCACCTCCATCACAGGTTCCAAACTGCAGTCCTCCGATGCCAATGGAAGGATTGCCATCAATTTAACAGGGCTTGGAATTAGGCCCAGAATAGATAACTATGTGAAGCAATGACAGTGGGATTTATTTACACATTTTTGACCTGTCCACAAACTGTAGAGTAAATCAGGAATGCTGCAGTGCACTTGAAAGAGAAAAATGAAAAACAAAGAGACCAGAGCATAGAACCCCAAAACAAATAGGTTCAAATTTAACCTCCAATGCTCATAATTGTTTCATTTATAACACTCTGCCTTGTAGCTGAAACCTCCATTCTTCTCCAGAACATGACTCCTGTTAGTCTAGGAGAAAACCCAGTCTTTGTTGTGACTTATTTTGACAGCTTTAATATCATTTTCCACCTGGCATCT